TGCTGAGACCATGTGAATTCCTTGAGGTTACAGGGACCGTGTGAATTCAGGCTGCTGCGGCGATGGGATCGGTGCCTTGGTTTGGGGTTGTTGTGGTTGCTTGAACCGGTGCTGCCGTTGGGGTTGTTGTGGTTGCTTGAACCGGTGCTGCCGTTGGGGTTGTTGTGGTTGCTTGAACCGGTGCTGCCGTTGGGGTTGGTGTGGTTGCTTGGCCGGTTGCGTGCCGCTTGGGGTTGGTGTGGTTGCTTGAGCCGGTGCTGCCGTTTGTGGTTGTCGTTGGTTGCTTGAACCGGTGCTGCCGTTGGGGTTGTTGTGGTTGCTTGAACCGGTGCTGCCGTTGGGGTTGTCGTGGTTGCTTGAGCCGGTGCTGCCGTTGGGGTTGTTGTGGTTGCTTGAACCGGTGCTGCCGTTGGGGTTGTTGTGGTTGCTTGAACCGGTGCTGCCGTTGGGGTTGTTGTGGTTGCTTGAACCGGTGCTGCCGTTGGGGTTGTTGTGGCTGCTTGAACCGGTGCTGCCGTTGGGGTTGTTGTGGTTGCTTGAGCCGGTGCTGCCGTTGGGGTTGTTGTGGTTGCTTGAGCCGGTGCTGCCGTTGGGATTGTCAGTTGAGATTTGACTGTGGTCATTGCGGGTGTTGAAGAAGCTGACGTTACTGGAATAGACGGCCTGTGTCAGTACTGAGTTTGCCGCTTTTCACACATCGTGTGTCACCGAACGAAACATGTCGGGGTTTGTTGATGGAGTGGATGGGCAGGTGGATGGAGAATAACTCTGTATATTTTTCTGCACGTCTTGTGCTTTTATTTGGAAGGTGAAAACACTGTTTAATGATCATAAAACTGTATCCCATCAACCATCTCATACTCTTCTGCTGTCTCCCGTCCTTCTATCACTACTGCAACTATCTCGTGTGAGACCGATCTGACATGGGTCACATCTTCTCAGCCTATCTCAGCCACTTTGTTTTAGTTCATCACGTTTAGTTCATTACATGACGAAGCATATAAGCTAGAATTGCAGCATCGTCAGTGACGTGCTGTGTGGCACATATGCGTCATCATATTTAAATATATTATCACGTTATCCCCGAAAATTCTCTTTGGATGTTTAGATGTAACGAAAAGCTTTAACATGAACAATATTCTGAATCTGTAAACATTTTGATCATGATGTAAGCACCAGCGTATAATGATAGAGAATATTGTATATCTCTCCGAACGCAAGGTTTAAACCGCTTTTAACAGTATTCAGTATATCTGAGTGTCATCTTCAAGTGACTGGAAACTCGAACTAAGGCGTGTCTCCGAAAGTCGATTTTATTGACCTCTACGTAAGAAAAAAATACTTCTCTTAAAGGACGAACCGAAACGTTATTTTGTTAGCATGTCTAGCGAAAAAATCAACGTTTTTGGGAAAACCGGAGGCTAATGTATTTTTCTCCAGTATTCTTGAAATATGTTTTTCTTCAAAATGAATTCCAGAAATTCCCAACCACCCAAGCCCGCCGCTTCCAACCAAACACATGATGTGCTGCTAACGTGTCAACAGACCTATTTTAACCATAAATAGTTCTGAAGATACACTCATTTGTCTTGTGTTTCACATGGCATTTAGCCTACCAGATACACATATACAATTTCTATCTCCCCATGTCTTTACAATATATAGATCTAGTATTCCGATTAATTACACAAACTAAATAGGTTCCTCCAATGACAGATGTTCGTTGTATTCCTATATTCACCATGGTGTAGGAGAGTGTTATAACGCCAAACCAATCACATAGATGTGGTATCACCATTCTGCTAGTATGAAAATGAGACCATGTGGCAGGAGTGAGACAGTGAGATGGGTTTTACGCCGCTTTTAGCAATATTCCAGCAATATCACGGAATATCACCAGAAATGGACTTTACACATTGTACCCATGTCGGGAATCGAGCCCGGGCCTTTGGTGTGACGAGCGAACGCTTTAACCCCTAGGCTACCCCACCGCCCCCTACATGGCAGGAACTGCTGTTATTCGACATCTCCTTGCATAAGAAGCATCGAACCTAAATGCGTTTAAGGGTGATTGCATAGGCAAGTGGTTTAAATGTTTGCTTATCACGCCGAAGACCTGGGTTCGACTCTTATCATGGGCACAGTGTATGAAACCCTTATTTGGCGTCATCCGCCGTGATTGGGATATTTTGAGTCTAGATAATTTGAGATAGTCAAGTCAAGTCAAGTATTTTATAGAGAAAAGTATTTCTCTAATATATGAAGCATATGTCTTGTATCCACAGTTATCGTAATACATTTGCATTTTGTACATTTTCAAAGGAGTTCTATCTTCATGCATATTAATAAACTTTTAACCAATATTTTAAAGTTTTAGACAATGCGTTTATAAAGAGGGATATCTTCCACACTGGCCATATACAATAGCAATAGGTGTATGAGGGCTGACATTCAAGAAACGTTTGCAAGCTGTTAGATGAAACTTTTCTATTTTATAAAATTTATACATTCCCCAGATTTCTGCCCATACAGTAATATCGGCTGTATCTGCGCATCAAATATCTTAAACTACATGCTGGGATCTATTCTTCCAATTCCATTTGAATTACTTATTACTTCCAATAAAGCCCTCTTACCCCTCAGTGCTGAATCATTGATGCAATTTTTCATCTTAAATGTTGACGAAAATATAACTTCCAAATATTTATAAATATTTAATGATGTTATTGGCTTGCCATTTAAAAAACACTTTTCATTTTTGCTAAGCGCCCTCCCCTTATATAAACAACAATATTTTTTACAAGATTGTAAATACCATTTTTTTCGGATAAAGGAAAGGTTTTAAAGGGTGTATCCCTCAGAAGCACGAAATGCAATAACATGGCTGTTCTCAAATGCATCGACCCGATTAATGGGGTATCACTGTCACTGTATTTCTTTATCTCTCTCTCCCTCTGTCTAATTATTGTCCCTACCCTCTATCTCCCATTCTCTCTTCATGCCCGACCCCATCTCTCACCCCACCCCCCCCCCTTGCTAAACAATTGAATGTTACTAAAGATCATGTCGTAAGGGCAACTAACGGGATCGGGTGGTCAGGCTCACTCACTTTGTTGACACATATCATCGTATCTCAATTGCTCATTATGTCAATCACTGGTTTGTCTGGTCCAGACTCGATTATTTACAGATCGCCGCAAAATAGCTAGTGTATTGCTGCGTGCAAATACTATAGATCAACTATTGATATTTTTTCTAGCATTAATATCATTCAGTAAAAGATTCCTTTGTGTATACCTAATGTGATATTTCTGGAATATCCCTGAAAAGCGGCGTAAAACCATATTCACTTACGTACATGTAGATTCCAGGCGTGAGCAGCGGCTTAAGCTATAACAGCCATGAAATGTCCATGATGGAATTCGAACACCGTTAGTTGTGTTCAGCGGTAACACCCTGTAAGAAACTACAACGTAACGAATGGTGTTCATGCAAAATTTCTATTAAGCAGTTTGACAGTATCATGAAGCCGAATACTGATCCGATCTTGTTAGTCGCCTCTTATGACAAGCATGGGTTCTAACCGGATCTGGGGCGGTGGGGTAGCCTAGTGGTTAAAGTGTTGGCTCGTCACGCCGAAGACCCAGGTTCGAATCCCCACATGGGTACAATGTGTGAAGCCCATTTCTTGTGTCCCCCGCCGTGATGTGTCTGGAATATTGCTAAAAGCGGCGTAAAACCAAACTCAGTCAGTCAGTCTAACTGGATCTTCACGGGTAATCAAAATTGTTACGCCAAACGGAATCTGTTCCAATATAACCTCAGTGTTTCTAAAAGGCTTGTTTAGGTAAAATATAATCATGGATTCTAACTACAACGGGGCGGCTATTTTATCGTCCAATGGGTCATTTCTCGTTTGTGTGACGAGACACTAGAGACTCGAGGCTCTAGCGATTGTCAACAAGTGGTAACGAGGCTCTAACGAGTTGTTTGATTAAGGACTAAACCGGATGTAGGGCCCGGAAAAGACAGGCGATTGTAAACGCACGTGCCTGATTAGCACGTGCCGACCGGGACATAAAGACGACATTATACGCCGCCTTCTGAACCGATGGCCAATCACGACAAGCCACCTCAATGAACTAATGTCCAGGAAGATTGTCCAGCGTAAGCAGAGGTGGGAATTTACCATAGCCACTGGCATATTCCATTAGGACCTCGGCATGCAATCACAGGAATTCATATTGGAAATATGTTTGTGCAGGTGACGATCACATGACACAACCCACCCGTCTTGAACGTAATATGACTGTTGAAAGCGTTCTCATTGTCTCTTGTTATAGGGACTACATTGTGTTTGCGGCGGGATCTGGTGTCACACCGTCAGTTAATCATGTAATATCACTACTCTTGTGGTGAACCCTCCAAGATCCGAGTTAGGATTGGTCTTCAGTAACCCATGCTTGTCGTAAAAGGCTACTAACAGGATCGGTAGTCAGGCTCCCTGACTTGGTTGACACATGAGTGATGTGTGAGTCATCGGTTCCCAATCGCGTAGATCAATGCTCATGCTGTTGATCACTGGATTGTCTGGTCCAGACTCGATTATTTACAGACGGCCGTCATGTAGCTGGAATATTGATGTGTTCGGCGTTAAACAACAAACAAACAACACTATTGCTGCCTTTCAGTATTCAATTTGTACAGGCAGCGATAGCACAATTGAAGAGTACGAAAAACACACAATTCTCAGCCGCAGCGAGTTGGATTTCTATAAACCGGTTATATCAGGGCGTGTAAAGTGGATGTGGGGAGAAAGCCATGAGTGATGTGTGTCTTGGACGTTTACCACTTTAATGATACCCACGAATATGGTGCTTAAGAACCTAGAAAGATAATCGGAAACGAACCCCGATTCGGATTTAGAGTCATAGGGTTCTCCAACAATCCTAGGTTTCTAGTGCACCCAAGGGATGCAGCCAAGTGAATGTGCTGGGGACCAAGATTCTTATCTCATATGTTCATGAAATCTGTTCATGAATCACAGTTCCGAACTTAGAAATCTGCAATGCTAAACGCTGCTTCAATATATTTTTTAATAATGAGTGAGTATGGTTTTACGCCACCTTTAGCAATATTCCAGCAATACCACGATGGAGGATACCAGAAATGGGCTTCAAACAATGTTCCATAGGGGAATCGAACCCGGGTCTTCGGCATGACGAAGGATTGCTTTAACAAGGCCACTCCACCGCCCCACTAAAACAGAGTCAATCCATCGAACCTAACGAACGTCCTTTACTACTGCAATACCGGTAATTGTATTTAAGATATGCAGGAATCCCATGTTAAGCTCAGCTAACAGACAGAGTGGTCCTGTTTTATGCACGTTATGCTCCCTGAGGCTTTCACAGATGCCCTTGGCTCGTGTTTGGATAGGTATTTTATCAAATTACTTAATCCTAAAATACAAAATCAAATTGAGACATTGTCCTGTGATGTCTAACAATTGAGTTAAAACCTGCGTAAAACAATTTTCGAGCGCCATTTTTTGTAATGTTGGTTGCGTTGAAGACACAAGGAGACAGTATCGGTCTAGACGTGTAAGCCTGAGCCCTGGCCCTTTTGTTAGAATATTCATTGATGAACTGATAATCCGCCAATACCAGACTCTGGCTAATCCGAATATTTGTTAACATCGCACTATATAAACTTTGATAAATAATATTTCCTTTAACCATATCTCCGTTTTGTTTATCTCCTAAATATCTTACTAATCGTTACTATGTGTAAACAGGACATGTTTGTCACTTACACGCAGACATAAAGATTAACAATGTAGCATTTGAATGACAGATCAAACGTGAGCTAAAATACAAATACTTATTTACTCAAAACTGCAACTAAATACAAACTAAACAATTCCTCATTTGAGGAATTACCAAGTTATAGTTCGTTAACCAATCACCGGAACCAAGAAATACGTCTCAAAGTCCACTGAGGATCATCATTACTCTTAAAAAGGATGTATTTGAAAGTTATATCTATGACGATTATTGGCAAGCCTTGCCACTCCAGATAAAACGACATTTTCATTTTGACACGTTCCCTACGTTAGTACATAACCTTGTCAAAGTAACTCTATAGTAGCCATATTGATCTCAGAAGGACTGGGGGGCATGACTTGGAGCTTTGGTTCAGTCATAAAGCTAGCCAATGTCCCATCTCTTCATCAATGAGTGATAAGTTCGATACAGCCCTTCCAAATGACCCAAAGCATCCCATTTGACGGTATTTATTCCAAAGCACGTTCCCAGGGGGAAGGCGACATCTAATGTTCGAATTAGTTTACAGGAAAACCGTATTTGAACTTCAACCATCCCAGTCATGCGCTCTGATGGATTTTGACAGCTTTACCAAATCCGGGCATTGACAAGATGGCCTCCTGTTGTCCGAACCTGGCTGAGATCGCCTAAGTATTCTACTTCCGTCGAGGTTGTCGTCGGGGGTAAATTAGATTCATTTTGTTCCGGTGAATTGAAGGCAAACCGATGTAGTGAGGAGGAATTGATTTAAAGCTTAAATGCATCAGGTCCGCTAATGGCGTTGGTGATATCACAAGTTCTGAGAAGAATATTCATTGGACAGGTTCAAGCTGGAGAGGAAGCGGAATGCATGTTTCTTGATTTTCCTGATTGGGTTGGATTATTCCTGCCTGCTTGACCGATCAGCGCGAAATGATGGCAAGGACAATTTCTAAAACGTCAATGTTGGAAAAGCCGAGATAGTGACTGTATTTTAAGTAGCAGAGCAGGTCTTTGTAATGAGTCATTGATGGCAGTTGGAGATTCTTTTCTATGATTTTTTCCCCTGTTTTGTTTACTTTGGCTGAGTGGACCGCTGGTGAGCAGGTTCGTTGGCTGATGCCATCATTGGTTGTGACACTTCGCAGAATTAAATTGGTCTTCAGCAAACCATACTTGTCGTTAAAGGCGACTAACGGGATCGGGTGGTCAGGCTTGCTGACTTGGTTGACTCACATCATCGTATCCCAATTGTGTAGATCGAATTGTGTAGATGATGTTGATCATTGGATTGTCTGATCCAGACTCGAATATTACAGACAACCGCCATACAACTGGAATATTGCTGAGTGCGGCGTTAAACAACAAACCAGCCAACCAACCACTTTGTACGTTATTTATTTTACATCAGCGCAATTCATTTTGATATCTAGTGTTTGTCAACACTGTGGAACGTTGCTGTGTGTCCTTTAGTGAGAAAGGCTTATTCCCGCTCTTACGCAGTTAGTTTTCCAATAATATCACGTTGTTAGAAAAAGGTGTCACACAAGACACCTTTGCCCGTCTCGTGTTTCGTACATGACGAGCGACAGCTTGAACAAACCAATTAACCAATCCCTCCAGGAATATATCCAAGTTATTGCCAGCCCGTTCCTACTTTTCATCATCGGCAACAAAGGTCAAAACGAACAAAATAACATCTGTCGAGGGAAGTCGGTATGTTATATATTTTTATTGGAACAAAAGTCGGGCCAAACAACTTTTGTCATGTGGGCTCTCAGCAACACCTACAAAATGGCTACGCTGCCAGAACACCAAAGAAAGAGAAAACCGAACCCAGATATTGTAGACAACGCCAACGTGCTGACCATGTCAAAGTCAAGTAAATAAACTTCAACGTCAACAGAGGTGTCTACACATGCAATAAACTACAGTTATGGAGAACGCAAAGGGACCACAAATTTAAGTTAACAGCTGCAGTTTAATTATATGCATTGCGACTAATATGTACAGCAAGAGTCTCGATAAAAAAACAAAACAACATATCAGCAGATTCGTTATGAGCATGTTCCTTATAAATGTAGTTTCTGTACATTGGAGAACGGCAAGCTGCATCAACAAGTGACCAACCCGACGGCGACAACTCCATCGCAACACCCAACACACTCTGACATAGGGTCCAGTTCGATCTTCTGATGTTTATTCAGCGTCATCAAGAAAGGGTTTGAGTTACCTGCTGGTAATCACTTTCACGGGCTGACTGCACCGCCGTAATTGCTTTTCTGTCCATCAGGCAGACCAGGGACAGTAGACGAGGTAAAACAGGCTCCACTGTGATCCCACCCTACTGATAACCTTAAACTACGTAATTGCTCTAACGAATAGCTTGGAGCTTGTTTTGATGCCAGTTAAAATGACCCTATCACGTATACCGCATTATCTATAAATAAACCGTGAATTCAAAACTGTATTAGCTGAGCAAAGGCAATTGGAAAAACCTTTCGGCCATGAGGTGATTGTGTTGATATGAAAGTGTTTTACGGAGGTGATTATGATCTACGAATATGCCTCCCGGATATGGAATGTAATGTTGTTGTAGACGTTGGATGCTATGTATACAAGTTCATCACCAAATTGGTGATTGGTGTTATGCTTTTGCCTGAAACGCGTCTATATCAAACAGTTTATGTATGATTTGTGTGTGTTTAACGCTGCACTGAGAAATTGTCCAACCATATAGCGGCGGTCTGAGCATAGTCGCGTCTGGTTCCGACAATCCAGTGATTGACATCATGAGCATAAGTTTACGTACTAGTAATTGGGATATGATGGCCAACCACGTCTGAACACCCGATCTGAACATCTTCCACGACATGCATGGGTTGCTGAAGACCAATAACCAGACCTTCACATGTCTTTATGCATGAGGGGCGGTGAGGTAGCCTAGTGGTTAAAGCGTTTGCTTGTCACACCAAAGACCCGGGTTCGATTCCTTGTATGGGTACAATGTGTGAAGCCCATTTCTGATGTACACCGACATTATATTGGTGGAATATTGCTAAACGTGGCGCAAAACTATACTCACTCACTCTTTATGCAAGAACTAGGGCACGAGGGGGGCTGTCCTTCGGTCGGGTGTTAGAAACCAAAGTACCAAATCCAGCTTGTCTTGATTATGTGTCCAGGTTTGTCAGCTTCATTCCTTTATTCCAAAGTGTACTCGAAAAGCTAAACCCTCAGACCTGCATCTTGTTTGAGATTCTTTCAACACCAAACTTACGGACCATGATGCAACCGAAATACAGCAACTGTCCCGAGCAACTCACGGACTACGCCCACGACAAACATGAACCCTTCTCTTAATCTATGGAAATCTATATCTGTCAGTATATTCACAGTATTTATCAAAGTCTCAGTGTTGAAATACAATGTCATATATGTCACCGAAAGAAGCAACATCAGATTTATATCGCGAGGAATGAAATATATATTACGGAAATCAACAGGATCATTTATAGAAATCATTTTTCAAGTCGTCAGTGTAGATTCCTATTTCAATGAGTGGCTCTTTTCACAAATTCATTACCACACAAAAAGATGGAAGGAAGACGTTATGAAATATTTCATGCCCTTGTAATCAGAAACACGATCAGGTCGACAGTAGCTCATCTTCACGCGAAAATAAGGATTTCATGCTAAAAGAGTTCTGGAGAACATAAAAGGCTCCTTTGAGGATATACGATCCCAAAGTAATAGGACGTCATCTTGCCCTGTTGGATACAGAACGGATTTTGTTACATGTCCTTCATGCGTCACATGAAACAAATGAAAGTTATTTTATTTTTTACGATGAATCTTAATTTCCGCATCTCAGGTGTAAACACGTACCAGACCATGATTCATATGAAAGCTTGTTAGTGCCACATTCTGAAGAACTTCGTCTGCGTAGAATATAGTATCTTGCACGAATACGATACTTTATCTGAAAAACGTTATCGGCGTAGACTATATTATCTTCCACGAAGATAATACATAATCTACGTTAATGGCCCTTACATGCGCTTAGATAACACTGCTCACAACTATGAAAAGATGCTATCAGTATATACGAAGATGAAAGCATCTTTATGTACAATGACTTGTATCATCTAGATGTGGCGGTTATTGGTTTCCGTAGATTCACTGACAAATGAAGATTGGTAGTTTCCAGCAATATGTGGTGGCTTTAGTGAAATCAAAGAACGGTTCTTCCAGTGAGACCGGAAGCTCCGTGATCAATACTCGTGTTCCTCATTGATATTCATATTTCTGGGATGGAAGCTGTTTTTGTGTTCGACTGACAGCAACTAGTCCTGATGGGCACCTGATGGACTCATTGTTGTGCACGACTTATGCATAATGTTTTTGATTCTGATAACGTGTTATTTAACCTTTTTTATTGATTTTGATGAAGGTAATATCTGTTATCTTTGACATGTCCGTAATACGGAATATACGTCATTGCGTTAGGTGAGTGAGTGAGTATTTAAACTAGCCACAATGGCAGAATTTCCTCCACATCGGGACTAAAACAAGTAATACATAAATCATGCATTTTTAATACAAAACCTGCATCACCTGCATTGTTTTCAAATCAATATGTTAGAATTAAAGTATGACTATTCTTAACAACTGAAGAAAACGGGGTCATAGATCACAAGCAGTCAACTATAGGCCAACACACTAAGGACAGTGGGGACTAATAGTACCCCAGTGGGATTTACACCATCCCTCTAGGTACTCGTGAATATTAGACAGTTAAACCAAACAGTTAAAACTGAAAAGACTGCAATGAGTAAACCATGCAGGATGAAAAATAATTGAATGAAATGGGTCTGACGCATCCTCTCAAGGCGATTATTATTTTACGGTAATTCAAACCCCTTTGAAAATACAGCCACTCGCAATTCTGTTTTCACCTCTAAGTGGATGCTGTTTGTAAATATTTTGGAAAACTGAACAGCCGTTTTCTTGTGCACATAAAACCAAACAATATTCATACTAATAAGAGATAAAGACAACACAAAACCTTTCCGTAATCATTAAAAATCTCTTCCAAAAGCAGAATTGATTGCACAATTCGTTATCGTTTCATGAACTTTATGTAGGATACAAGATGACATAAACGTTTAAAAGACTTTCTAAAAGAAATTCAGTAAGCGGTATGTCCTTTTGGTTTGTAGCAGCACATCGTCAAATGTTTCTAATATATTTCTTATGTTATTGTAAGTGTTTACCACTTCATGCAGGAGGTTTTGGACGTTACATGACGGCGCAGGTGGACACTGTAACCTCCTTTCAGTCGCCTCCCTTGAGTTCTTTTATTGGGATCATTTAGGGGCTTTCTGTTGGCTATTCCATTCAGAACATTTGATTAATATATATTAGAATTGTCGTGACGTTGTTCCAGCAGCCACAAACCTGAGGACTTGAACAACGTTTAACTGTACGTGTGCATCACAATGTCCATTGAGGACAGGGTTCACACATCTGCGGAAGGACAATCCTCCCCAAACCATCATAGATTGCCCTCTATACCAATTAAGTCATCACAAGGATTTCGGCGGCTCAAAGCTCTAACATGGCCACCAGCTTGGTCAGTGCAGAAACGACATTCACCTAAAACGATATTCCTTCTCGAGTGGACACCAGCATGTTTGCCAGTATGTTTGCCCACTCGTGATATGTTCCATCCGGCTGCAGAATGACACCCTGCCTTCGCCCGATTCTCTCTCGTTATTCGGAATATGATGTATTTGTGTGAAAAGTAATACTTCAAAACCAACAGATAAATTTATTTGAGTTCAAAGAAGAAACTGAAACATTCTTGGTAAAAATAAAATGTTCAATGCTGATGCATGTTCCGGAAAAGGTGATGCAATTATTACATGTCGCGCTTTGGTGAATGTTATCATTTGAAATATAGTAGAATTTTATAGATATGTTCTTCATATTATAAATGTAATTTATCTTCTAATTATTTATCGCTTAGGGCAACATATTTTATTTCTGTGTTTCTCATCGCCTGACTGGCTGAAAGTTGACCGCTGGCCGATAATAGAGATAACTTTTTTTAATTTCCGCCGACTCGAATTCAGGACCTACTGACTTGCTCATTCAATTGCTTGCTTCCTGTGTCAGTGCTGGGATGAAGACTAATGGTGGGGTGAAAGTGAAAGATTTTAAGAAAGCGTTAGGTGTAAACACTCTTCTCTCTTACATTATATTTCCTAAAACACTATCATATATTAACGAATGACCGAGATGTCTAACATTGTGACAGTAACATCTGATTCAGTCTATTCTGTTCTCTGCTGCTTTTCCTTGTTGTACCCTGCTGTTTTTGCTTGTCAGGGCAATCTGTGTTATGGATTCAAAATCTGCAAATTTGACACTGTATACACTGAATACCAAAGACAGCAGAATAAATCTGTGTTTAAGACAGGCCTTTTGTTCCGTTCCATGCGCAAATTTCCAATAACCACTCCTAAAAAGTCAAATATAAATCAGAATCAAAGTTACATTATGTTATTGACCTCTTTTCTGATGTAGATCTAAGAAAGAATCTGGATCTTTAAATTGTAAAGAAGACTTAACTTTAGATCACGGTAGCTACGTGAAGCTCAAGGAAGTGCTGCTCTTACATGATATCACCCATCAAATATCTTTGTGATTCTGAGGGTACCCTTTAGGATCCCAATCAAGGTGTATATACATCAGCGAGCCGACCGACCGATCCCGTTAGTCGCCTCTTATGACAAGCATGGTTTTCTGGAGACCAATTCTAACCCGATTATTCATGGATGGTAATTACCATTTGTGCTGGAACGGACTGGTTTTTGCATATCAGGGATACAGTTTTCTAAGAGAGATGCATTCCTTGCCAAATCAGAGGTAAACGGTGTATCATAAAGACATGATCCGACATCTGCTCGGTTGTAAACTGCCTTGACAGTAAGCACAGGCTGATTTAGTGAGAGATCAATTTAGAAACGTTGTCAATGTAAGCAGTTATGTCAATTTGTCATTGTTTCGTTTGTAGGTTGTTCGTAACACACGACATAGGCTACAATTACAACTTTGAACGTAGCTACTTTTCAGATTGTTTTTGCAAAGACGAGTTTATGTGTATTTTCCATTCATCTCAATTACTTGAGTACGTCTGTTACTGGTATTTAAGTTGACGATACACAGACAGGCATGCAAATGTATATTGTTCTTAGCTGATAGTATATTCACCGTGTAATGTTACATTCATGCACATGTCCATTGTATGACAGTAAAGTACTTCGAACATAAAGAATCGCAATGTAATTGTGACAGATTTACAGGAATATCTCTTTACAGAACAACGCAATGCCTGATACAGTACAGAATGAATTACAAATTGGGAGCCTACTCAAATAATTAATTAGAAGTACTGATGCTAAGCATGGATCCACAGTTGTAACATAATGGTGGTCAATAAGGCTTTGGTTCTAGTACGTATAATGTATACATGCAGTAAACAATGTATCTGTAAATGGAAGTATTTCCTTATGGACAACACTGACAGGATGTCAAGCTTTTGTGAACTGGTGCTGTCTGTCTCTGAACTATATTTTTACTTCCTCCCAGCCTGCAGTCTTGCATGAAGTCTTCATTGTTCCTGTGTTGAAGAATCTCACATCTTCCAATTCCCGGAAGAATTGGTCTTCAGCAACCAGCGGGATCGTGTGGTCGGGCTCGCTGACTTGGTTGATGCATGTCATCGTTTTCCAATTGTACAGATGTAAATAGAAGGATTGTCTGGTCCAGATTCGATAATTTACAGACAGTCGTCATACAGAGAATAGCGGTAAACAACAAACAATCTTACTGCGGCTTTAGTGATACATCGATATTTGTATTTGTATAATAATATGATGGCGTAAAACACAATATTCACACAATCTTTTGTTCAGCATTGCTTGATATTCGCGATAAATAATTCTATTGCTTCTAAATTATGTTGTTGTTGGTTTGATAATGATATTTATTGCGCGATGTGTAATATAACGATATAATAAAGGTTTACAAATTATATTTTATCATTTTTGTATATATATTTTGACAGGAACAAACAACACAGGACTCATTCATGTGTTCGATAGAGGGGCAACTTCATTTTGTAAGTCTTCAGTTTGGCAGCGTTGCCGTTATAACAAATAGGTGCATAATTCAAGGTATTTTACAACTTGTTGTGCTCCGTAAAACGGCAGTAATAATTACTGATAGTCTAATATAGGACCCAGGTCCTCTTCCACGGCCTGAATAGACAACTCTCCATCTTATACAGATGTAACGTACCGTCAGATATGTCGACACAGTGAGTATGGGAGACTTGATTAGCGAAAATTTATCTTCTTTTCCCATGTATCCACTGGTGTATATGAGCCAAAACAAACCAACAATGAGCTAAAGAATCACGCTGTGGTATCACTGGAATCAATTCTATATAACCAGATTTGTTCATGGGAACAATAGCGTGTATGAACCCTTTCAGCTGATTCAGCTATGAGCGGATTCTGTGTGTTCGAGTTGACAACTTTGTAACTTGTGATACAAATGATTACCACATTGAGATATTTCCTTTGCCAGTTTTAGGAAAACTCCAGTAATATCCCGTAATATTGCTGCTCCAGAGGTCAAGGATGGTCCAGTGGCACAACAAGGAACTACAGAGTTGCGTCCCTTAACCTTGCCAATTATCTTTTAAAACAAGTAATGAATCGAAATATTCACTTCTCTTACTACCTCTCTCCGAAGTTTTGAGGACAAACAGTGAAAAGTTATGTTTTATGTCGAATCGGAAGCAAAAACATTTTTGTACAGACCTGCTATGTTTTTACACACACACAGACACACACACACACAGACACAAACACACTCACGGTTTGTACTTGAATAAGTCTATGCATCAAGTACCATTACAAATCCACAGTAAAACGACAGTAATGATTAATGATAATCAGGTGAAGGAGACACCCTACTGATACACGACCTCAACACACTAATCTCCATCTACTACAGATGTAACGTAACGCCAGGTATGTCGACACCGTCGTTGTGGAGGACTACACTCGACTTGATTACTGAACATTGATTTTCATCCTATGTATCAAGTCTAAGGCAGGGCGGTTATGTAGGCGATACATAAAAAGAAAGTCTGAAGCATCAGAGCATTTTGCCTGAAGGATTGTCCGATGCAATTTCCTACTTTAACTTGAACTATGCGTCCGAGTGTCTTCAGGTGCACATGTCTGTGTTTCGTGGTTGGTTGGTTTGTTGGTTGGTTGGTTGGTTGGTTGGTTTGTTGTTTAACGCCACAATCAGCAATATTCAAGCTATCTGGTGGCGGTTTGTAAATAAAGGAGTGTGAACCAGACAATCCAGTGACCAACAGAGTCAGAATCAATCTACACAAGTGGGATACTATGACAGGTATCAACCAAGTCAGCGAGACTGACCACCCGATCCGGCTA